ATTTCCTGGTAACCATACTTAATGATAAGAACTTATTTTTGAGTACACACATTGGATACAATGGACAAGGGTCCTACCAGAAGTTTTTTTTATTACACATTGATGATTATTTGTGCTGCTGATTCGTTCAGGGTGGTTATACACAATCCCACTTGCAATATTAATTGTACCTGCAAAAGTTTTATGGTGGTTATACTGCTTCATTTCCAACCAGCATATCCTGTAACTTCCTGCTTAAATCCCATAACTTTTCATACTTCAAATGTTCTGGATAGATACATAGATATTTGCACTGTAATCCCTCCAGACATCAGTAATGTGGCAGCATTTGCAGAGCAACTAATAAAGCAGAATAAATCTACCCCTAATTTCACTAGTACTGTCTCAAGAACCTGTTGCAGCATATATTTGCAATAAAACACAAATGTGACTAAATGAGTTAAAATCCAGGTGTACTTTTTAAAAAAACAAAAAACTTTAAATCAGTGCATCTCAAACTTTTTGCAATGGCAGAACTCTTCACTTCAAACAAAACTTCAGTGGCATCCTTGAAGTAAAATATTCTATTTTATTGTGTGTGTTTTGGAAAAAGGTGGAGGGGGAAGTTAATTACAGAGAGAGAGAGAGAGAGAGAGAGAGAGAGAGAGAGAGAGAGAGAGAGAGAGAAAGAAAGAAAGAAAGAAAGAAAGAAAGAAAGAAAGAAAGAAAGAAAGAAAGAAAGAAAGAGGGAGAGAGGGATGGCCAACCAGAGCTGCAACTTTTTAAAGCTGAGATTTTGAAAAACATTGCTGTCAGTCTTCTGATCTCTTCTGATGGCACAAGCTTTGGAGCTTGTCTACATTTGGACATTATTTAGCTTCTCTCCCCCAACCCCCACATTCCAATTAGACTGCAGTATTCCACACTCACACATACCGTATTTTTCGCACCATTGGACGCACTTTTTTACTCTTAAAAAGTAAGGGGAAATGTCTGTGCGTCCTATGGAGCGAATGTGTGGTCCCTGGGGCCAAATTGTCGGAGTGCGGCACACTCTTGGACTGGTCTTTGGTAGTGGTGGTGGAGCCGCGCTCCCCTGCCGGCAGCCTCGGCTTCCCTCTGCAGCCCCAGGAAGCTTTGGAGCAAGAGGAGGGCTGTGCGCCCCTGCCCCGCACTCCTGGGCTGCTGAATGGGGGCGGGGGGGGAGAGCCGCGCTCCCCTGCGGGCAGCCTCGGCTTCCCCCTGCAGCCCCGGGAAGCTTTGGAGGAACGTGAGGGCTTTGCGCCCATCCCCCGCGCTTTTGGGCTGTTGAATGGGGGAGGTGGGGAGAGCCTCGCTTGTCTGCCGGCAGCCTCGGCTTCCCTCTGCAGCCCCGGGAAGCTTTGGAGCAAGGGGAGGGCTGTGCGCCCCTGCCCCACACTCCTGGGCTGCTGAATGGGGGCGGAGGGGGGGGGAAGAGCCGCGCTCATCTGCCGGCAGCCTCGGCTTCCCCCTGCAGCCCCGGGAAGCTTTGGAGGAACGGGAGGGCTGTGCGCCCATCCCCCGCGCTTCTGGGGTGTTGAATGGGGGAGGTGGGGAGAGCCTCGCTCGTCTGCCGGCAGACTCGGCTTCCCTCTGCAGCTTTGGAGCAACGGGAAGGCTGTGCGCCCATGCCCCACGCTCCAGGGCTGCTGAATGGGGGTGGGGGGGGTGCTGCTCTGCCAGCAGCCTGCCCTTCCCCTCAAGGTTTGGAGCAGTGGGCAGGCTGTGCGCCCATGCCCCACGCTCCAGGGCTGCTGAATGGGGGTGGGGGGTGCTGCTCTGCCAGCAGCCTGCCCTTCCCCTCAAGGTTTGGAGCAGTGGGCAGGCTGTGCGCCCATGCCCCACGCTCCAGGGCTGCTGAATGGGGGTGGGGGGGTGCTGCTCTGCCAGCAGCCTGCCCTTCCCCTCAAGGTTTGGAGCAGTGGGCAGGCTGTGCGCCCATGCCCCACGCTCCAGGGCTGCTGAATGGGGGTGGGGGGTGCTGCTCTGCCAGCAGCCTGCCCTTCCCCTCAAGGTTTGGAGCAGTGGGCAGGCTGTGCGCCCATGCCCCACGCTCCAGGGCTGCTGAATGGGGGTGGGGGGTTCTGCTCTGCCAGCAGCCTGCCCTTCCCCCTCAAGGTTTGGAGCAACGGGAAGGCTGTGCGCCCATGCCCCACGCTCCAGGGCTGCTGAATGGGGGTGGGGGGTGCTGCTCTGCCAGCAGCCTGCCCTTCCCCTCAAGGTTTGGAGCAGTGGGCAGGCTGTGCGCCCATGCCCCACACTCCAGGGCTGCTGAATGGAGGTGGGGGGTGCTGCTCTGCCAGCAGCCTGCCCTTCCCCTCAAGGTTTGGAGCAGTGGGCAGGCTGTTCACTGAGAGAGGGGAGGAAGAGGACGAAGAGGAAGGGGGACCAAGAAGCTGGGTGAAGGGAGATGAGGTACCATAGGTTGCCGTGAGTGGAGAGTCATGGTAGAGGGCAAAGGAGAGGGAGCAGTGAAGGGGAGAAATTGTAGACGTCACCTGAGGAGTTTGGGTGAAAGGGATGGAGTGGAGGAGGCTGGAAAAGGGGACTGTTCTGCTGGGAGGGGGGACAAAAATGTGGGGAAAAGGAAAGCCTCCCAAGCCTGCTACTGAGAAGCTCTGCTTGGCTGTTTCTTGACTGTAATTCAAGTAAAGGGAATGTTTGCGAGCAGCTGGCAGGCTGTTCGCTGAGAGAGGGGAGGAAGAGGATTGAGAGGAAAAAATGTGGCATTAGCAATGCTTTGGATGGATACGAAGATGGTATTTTACATGAAGATAGCGAAGAAAGTGATGTCTCTGACTGTGAGCAACTGAGCTTCATAAATTCTGACTTTAGCAGTGATGAGTTCTTGGGGTTCACAGAAGACTAGAAGAGTACTCAAACCTTAAAGTCTCTCTTCATTTGTTAATGACAGTGATGATGGTTCTTAATGCATTGTTGACTGCTGTTCACTTTACATGGCTGTAATGTGATTCTGATATACCAGTTGTTTATTAAATACAGTAGTTTATACAACATTTGATTCAGAATATTTTTTCCTTGTTTTCCTCCTCTAAAAACTAGATGCGCCCTATGGTCGGGTGCGTCCAATGGAGCGAAAAATACGGTACTTGAACTGGTATAGGAGGAGTCTTTACTGTTTATTCCCTTCTGTGTTTGTCCCTGCCTTCTCATTAGTTGATTCTGTTATGCCTATTAAGTATTGACAGGGCATGTGCACAGATAGTTGTGTGCACACATTGGTTTTTTGCTTTTTTTTAAAAAAAAAAATTCCTGCTCATGAAGTGTACAAAAGCACATGGTCAGGCAATAAAAACAAAATAACAACATTGGGTAGCTATAACTAATTCTTTCCAGTAGTAGAATGCAATTTTTGGCAGGAATCTCAGGTGAGATACCCACACAGTGGAATTCGCTCCCAGTAACAGGCACCACACAAAAGCAGAGAAAGATTCAGATAGTTTACTGTTGCAGAAGATAAGGCTCAGCAGTTCTGGATGTGAATATATACAGCTTGCAAGCTGTATATCACCCCGGTTAAATTAGCCAAAATGTATAAATTGAGTAATAAAGCCTGTTGGAAATGCAAAGCAAAAGATGGGGATGGCGCTGTGGGTAAAACCTCAGCGCTTAGGGCTTGCCGATCGAAAGGTCGGCGGTTCGAATCCCCGCGGCGGGATGAGCTCCCGTTGCTCGGTCCCAGCGCCTGCCAACCTAGCAGTTCGAAAGCACCCCCAGGTGCAAGTAGATAAATAGGGACCGCTTACTGGCGGGAAGGTAAACGGCGTTCCGTGTGCTGCGCTGGCTCGCCAGATGCAGCTTGTCACGCTGGCCATGTGACCCGGAAGTGTCTCCGGACAGCGCTGGCCCCTGGCCTCTTAAGTGAGATGGGCGCACAACCCCAGAGTCTGTCAAGACTGGCCCATACGGGCAGGGGTACCTTTACCTTTACCTTACCACATGTGGTGGGAGTGTGAAAAGATGAAAAAGTTTTGGAATTTAATATATAATGAACTGAAGAAACTTCTTAAGTATACATTCCCGAAAAAAACGGAAGCTTTTTTATTAGGGATTGTAGGGGAGGAAGTAAAAAAGGATTATTCCAATATGCTACTGCAGCAGCTAGAATACTTGTGGCTCAAAAATGGAAATTACAGGAAACCCCAACAATAATGGAATGGCAGGCCAAATTTTTTATGTATACAGAATTAGCTAAAATGACTTACAGAATTCGAGACCAAAAAGGGACAAAGTTTGAAGAAGAGTGGGGTAAATTTGTGGCATATATAAGAACTAACTGTAGAAGTTTAAAAACTATAGCAGGGTTAACATAAATCCTGTGATGTGTATAGAAGGTGAATAAGAATCTACAAGAGAAGATATATATTAAGAAAACCGAAGCGGGAAGGAAGGAAGTCTGGGCGTGAATATATGCAGTGTAAATAAGACGACATAAAATGATGACTGTAAAATATTGTTTTATTTTGTTTTATTTTTGTTTGTGAAAAACTCAATAAAAAGTATTGAGCCTTCAAGCTTTGGCAGATACAGATATATATAGATACAAGTACAAAGTAGCTCCATTGGTCTAAATAAGTTGAGCAATTCAAGATGTGACACCAACAGACAGACAGATACTACTGCACTGATATGCATTAATTACAGATATAGTTGGGGCACTGGGCCGTTACCATAGCAACTGGCTTTGCTAACTTTGCACCTGCAATTAGCCCATCCATGGGATGATTTGCGCTCATGAAGGAAATCAACCCCTTCTCGTGCCCAGTTACTCCTACAATTTTATGACTGTTCCAGATAAACAAAGAGCTCTACTTACTGTTAAGTGAGCGGCCCCTTTACCAAAAGCAATCCCATAAAGATATTCTTTGTCAACTGTCAGACCCCCTTTGCCTCATTTTCCACATCCTTTATGCACTGGAGATCAGTTCCCAAGTAATGGGTTGTTTTCTTCTGACTTCTCCTTCTGTTTGGTCTCACAGACAGCGTAGAAGATGAAATGGAAATGGCCACTGTGCGGCATCGACCCGAAGCCCTCGAACTGCTGGAAGCACAGAGCAGATTCACAAAGAAGGAGCTTCAGATTCTGTACAGAGGGTTCAAAAATGTAAGTGGTCCTGGTTGACCCTGCAGAAGGGGTCACCCATCTCCTGATGTGAACTTGCTGCTACTTGAGTACACAGGTCAGCCATGCTATCACAGATTACCCATGCCACGTATAATTAGGCCAAAAACAGATGTCCAGCGAAGAAATGGAAGAACAATATTGTGGGGAGGAGAGAGGGTTTAAGCACAGGACTGTCTCCAATAGTGCCAAGCTATCTGAGCCTATCCACTGCCATTTCTGTGTATCGCTAACTGAGGGAACAATGCATATTTTGAAAATGGGTTGGAGGTATACATAGTGGACGAGCTATGGATGTGTTGTAATAAGTGTGTGATTTGCATAGGGTAATAATTTAAAATTTACACAGCAGGAACTAATGTACAAAGGAGGGGAAATAATGAAAAGGAATTGAAGAGCTCCAAATTGCCTGATAAGTAAATAGCTACTGAGAGGAGCTGTGCTAGAGTTGAGTAATGCCAAAGCTTGAGTAATTTGGAGAATTCTTTTTTTAAAAAAAATAGTTTTTACATTGTAATTGAAAAATAGATTTAATAGGGTCTTCAACACCACAGGCTTTCGAGGCTGCCTCCAGCGATGTTCAGCTTCCCAGTCTTCAGTACCATTGCTGATGAATCATTGCCAAGCCGCCATCACAGTAGGGGAGCGCCATTTTGTAGCTGGCTTTCCTGTCATCTCCATTTGCTGCAAAATGAAACTGTGATTGCCGCAGTCATTAACCTTTCAAGCCAATGGCACTGTGGTGCGCCTTGTACAAGTGGCACTTCACAGTAAATTGCCCAGACTATCAAGCAGCCGCTCTCGGCATGCCGCCTTTCTTTCTCTTTGGGCCATTGATAATTTTCGTGCAAGTTTTCCTTTTTTCTTTTTTTTTTGAAACAGCTTTTACACACTTCCCTCCCCCAAGTACATGTTAAATAGTTAGGACCCTTCCAACAAATTAAACCTTTCATTTTTCTTCTTAGTAGCATGGTCACTTCTAGAGCACATTGCCTTATCCTTTCAACACTGTAAATATCTATGGTTTGCAGAATGAAAGCTACAGTGGAACCTCGGTTTTCGAGCGTCTTGCAAGCCAAACGTTTCAGAAACCGAACGCTGAAAACCCGGAAGTAATTGCTTCAATTTCCAAACGTGCCCCGGGAGTTGAACGACTTCTGAGGCGCGTTTCTCAATTTTTTCAATTGAATTCTCTGACTGCCCATTGTGCCTTGGTTGTCAAACGTTTTGGAAGTCGAATAGTCTTACAGAGTAGATTACAGAGTGGATTACAACTGAGGTTCTACTGTACATACCTGTTTTTGTCCATAAGTGTCCTGGGTGTGTTCAAAATGTTACCACATTTTTAATCAGAATATAAAGCGGGCAACCTTGTTCAGGGAAGTTTTTAGTGTGTGATGCTGTATTTTGCTGGGGCAACTCAGCCAGATGGACGAAATGATGATGATGATGATGATGATGATGATGATGATGATACAGTCATATCTTAGGTTGAAAGAGCTTCGGGATAAGTATTTTTGGGTAGCGCACTGCGGCGACCCGGAAGTAACGGAGCATGTTACAGATGGTCAAAATGACGTCACGCACATACGCAGAAGCGGCGAATAGCAACCCGCGCATGGGCAGATGCGTGGACATGGGTTGCATTCACTTCTGGATGCGAACGGGGCTCCAGAACAGATCCCGTTTGCATCCAGAGGAACCACTGTAATAATAATAATAATAATAATAACACAGCAAGTGCAATTTGAAGTACATCAGGAGAGAATGGTTCCATTTAGCTTCTTCCTGAGTCTGACTTTCAAATCGTAATGCACATGCATGTTTCCAAGCTGAAATAGTGCTTAGAGGTGTACTTTTCAGCAGAAAAGTTTCATGCAAGTGGGTACACACACATGTCCTCACACATCCAATTTCAAAACGGAAGTGGCAAACCCAGAGGGAATTCAAAAGTTAGACATGACAGCTTTAGAGTTTCCCTGTCTCAATTTAGGAAATTCTGCAGTTGGCTGATGGGTGCACATAGGTTTATAGACTTGCCCCCCCCTTTTTGTTAATAAAATATTTTTATTAAAGTTTTGTTGGGTTGCAAAGCTATGCACAATGTCTCTTTTTTCAAGTTACATTTTCCATTGGTCAGTTTCATTTGTTGAGACGTTAGGGTTACATTAGGAAGAAAAAGGGGGAAGAGGTGGAGGGGGGAAAGACGAGTGGGGATGGGGTCAGGAGGCGATGTTTCTATTTTGCTTAATGTATGTGTGGGGTTTTGCGTCAGCGTTGCTTGTGTGGGTTCTCTTTGCTGTTCACTTGTGTTCCTTTGGTGGTGAGAGAAATTGGGGTTGGCCTAGGGTGCGGTTGCTTGTTTGTGATTGGCTGTGGTGAACTTTGTTTTTGTGTGTGAGTGTGGTGGGAGACTTGCAGTTTTGACCTATTTTATAATAGCTAGCCTTACCCGGGGCAGAATGTTGATAATGAAAATAACTTGGTGAGAACTAATGTTTCACTGGAAAAAAGCACAGGCAGCCATGTTGACCTACAAGAAAATGTCAGAAATCCATATTAGGACATCTTTACTTGGCCAAGCAAAATGTCCCAAAATCAAGTTTTGCGTTCCCCAGAGCTAGGTATTAAGATATAATGAAAGGTTTGAGTATTGTTAAATCTTCTTAATACTAACTTACATTGTCCTGAAGGTGGCAATACTTACGTCTCTTAGAGGGCATCCCAGGAACTGTAGGAATCATCAGATCTCCCTCTACAAGGATAGGACCTCTAAAGTAAGATGGGGCATGTCAAGGATGTGCCAGGAGACTCTGTGAATCTGCAGAATCCCCAGACCTTCCATTCCCCTGACACATGCCTGGAAAGAGGACAAATTGTGCTAGTCATTGATTCCAATAAGAAGGAAATGTTTTTAAAAACCCAAAGTGGGAAACATAAAGAAGGGGAAATGCTCCACTATGGACACAATGACGACAATGTCCATCTGTTCATCTGCCTTCGGTTCTTTTTGGACTGCTCCTCTAGTCTCTGTTGAATATTTTCATTCCATCTTCATCTAAAATGATGACACAGCCAATTGGGAGAAGTAGCTAATGGCCACAAACCAACAGAGTTAAACATATTTTAGCTCAGGTACAGTGGTACCTCAGGTTAAGTAGTTAATTCGTTCCGGAGGTCCGTTCTTAACCTGAAACTGTTCTTAACCTGAAGCACCACTTTAGCTAAAGGGGCCTCCTGCTGCCGCCGCGCCGCTGCTGCACGATTTCTGTTCTCATCCTGAAGCAAAGTTCTTAACCCGAGGTACTATTTCTGGGTTAGCGGAGTCTGTAACATGAAGCGTATGTAACCCGAGGTACCACTGTATAGGCAAACTCAGCCCTCCAGATGTTTTAGGACTACAACTCCCATCATCCCTAGCTAACAGGACCAGTGGGCAGGGATGATGGGAGTTGTAGTCCCAAAACATCTGGAGGGCCGAGTTTGCCTGTGCTTGTTTTAGCCTATTGGTTTCACTGATTTTAAGCAGATATATAAGCAGATTATAGCCAATACATGTGGCGTAAATCTGTGATTACTTGGCAATGCAGCTCTTGCAAACTCAAAGACTGAAAATTGATCACACTTCTGTGAAGAGAGTTGTTTTTTTGTTGTACGGTTACTGAAGTGCAATAAATACCACTGCTTGCTGTGAACATTCGCACAGTTGCAGTCAGAAGAAAGCTGTTACTTGAAATGCTTTTTATAAATATTTGCAATGAAAAGGGTGAGCAGTGGCATACTGTGACATTACTTAATTGTACACATGTATGGAGACTACACGGGACGCGGGTGGCGCTGTGGGTTAAACCACAGAGCCTAGGAATTGCCGATCAGAAGGTCGCGGTTCGAATCCCTGCGATGGGGTGAGCTCCCACTGCTTGGTTCCAGCTCCTGCCCACCTAGCAGTTCGAAAGCACATCAGAGTGCAAGTAGATAAATAGGTACCGCTCCGGCGGGAAGGTAAACAGCGTTTCCGTGCACTGCTCTGGTTCGGCAGAAGCGGCTTAGTCATGCTGGTCACATGACCCGGAAGCTGTACGCCGGCTCCCTCGGCCAGTAAAGCGAGATGAGCGCCGTAACCACAGAGTCGGCCACGACTGGACCTAATGGTCAGGGGTCCTTTAGCTTTACCTTTTATGGAGAATACACACACAAACGTACTTGGAGCACGAAGAATGCAGTGCTAGCATTGAGCTGGCAGGTAGGAGGAATTAAATCACTGGCTTTGCCTCACCACTTGCCAGTTGGGGGCCCTCTCTCTTAACACACTGCACATTGTTCTGTGAACTTGGCTGGTTGCCTCACTGTCCTGGTTGCAGGGGCAGAAGAGGAGAATGTTGTTTAGTCGTTTAGTCATGTCCGACTCTTCGTGACCCCATGGACCAGAGCACGCCAGGCACTCCTGTCTTCCACTGCCTCCCACAGTTTGGTCAAGCTCATGTTGGTAGCTTCGAGAACACTGTCCAACCATCTCGTCCTCTGTCTTTCCCTTCCCCTTGTGCCCTCAATCTTTCCCAACATCAGGGTCTTTTCCAGCGAGTCTTCTCATGAGGTGGCCAAAGTTTTGGAGCCTCAGGCTACAATTGCAGTGGCATGAGCAGAGGCTACACTGTGCTGCATCAGCTGGCTCTCTCTGCTTGCCCAAGTCAGTTATGAATGAATGTGTTGGCCATTCTAGGGTTGTCTCTTTTCTCAGACAGGAAGCAGAGTCCTAGTCCAAAGGGCAACCAGGGGGTCAAAAGCCCATGCAAAGGAGAGCACTCGAAGTGTGCCAAGCCACAAGCTACAGATTAAGTGTATCACTGGCAAGCTGTGCAAACCACAGTATAAGGCAGCATGCAGAGGTATAACAAGCAGGTGAGAGCTAAGCCAATGGCAAACAACTCAAAACCTATGCAGAGCAGAAAACTAAAGAAACTAAGACGACTTAACATAGGCTC